ATTGAATTAATCCGTTGTGATATGTCTTCTTGTAGACAGTTTTTACTGTTTTAAAACTAACAGTACAGAACAATATGGCATCCTGGCTGCTTTTCCCTGGATAAACTTGGTGATTAGCTGTACCCATTTTTTTCTGCCACTCCCCCCAATCTGCTTAAAAGAAAAAGAACACAAACTGATATCACTTTATAATCTGTGAGGTACGTTAGGATGAGAGATTGCAACTTGCCTAATGCCATCTAATAATATTTATTTAGAATAATATTTTGTCTTGGGTCCCTAGTGTCCATTACTAATATATTACACATTTTATTGCACCCAGGACGAGAGTTATTTAGGGCTGAGGTCAGCACATAACACGCAGTAGTCTATGCCAAGCTAGAAAAATGGCCAGGGGACATTTGCAAAACACATACACTTATCCTAAATTTTAGACATTTTATTGTTGGGAGTTATTATAGAGTTAGGCCTGAGGCTGAACAGGGTTGATTTTTTTTAAAAAAATTAACCTGTGTTATTCCTCAGCACTTCCCCTACAACATTCAAAACTCTGCAAAATTGCGAGTTTTATTGCCTCCACTAGATTTGTGTAGGCATCAATGCTGATGCTTCATTTTCTCTAAACTGAATTATCTCTTTTGTTCCACTAATTATATAGAGTAGACTTAGAGTACAGGAATCTTGTGGAATGTCTGGGACTTGTGAGTGGGGCAGCTTGGGTCAAAGCAGAAGGGGTATTTCTCCAGAGTAGAGGTACCTTCTTTCTTAATTCCCCTATAAGATTATTCCTCCATCTACTGTGGCATAACAAGGCTTAAGTGCTAGGCTCCCCAACATGATACCCAGGGAGGCCACTATCCCTGCAGAGCCTCCCTGTTCCTCCTCCTTTTTTTGCTGCTTTTTTTTTTTACTTTTTTACATTGCTTCAATTTTTTAAAAAATGCTGAAGCAAAGTGCCAGCCTTCTGCATTATTTTTATTTCCAAGAGTGTGGGGCTCATAATTGTTTCTCAGAAAATAAAAATAATTGGTAGCTACAGCATACTGCTTTGTTTGGAAATATGCCTACCTGTTCAGAAAAAGAACAAAGGTAAAGAGAGGGTGGGGAGTAGAGAAGATGATAGCATTCTGTGAATTCAGTGCTTTATAAATAGTTGTGTCCCTCATGGCTGCCCTTGGTGAATGAGAAAGCCATCCAGCAATCATTATGGAGGAGGTTCCACAACTGCTCACGAGTGCAAAGGAATGGGGAAACTGCTTAATGAATCCCACTCTACAGTATTGCAATTAAAAGGAAAATGATATTATTTTAGAGTAATTCAGAAATCATGTTGTACAGAGAATTGTAACATATCTGTCCTCTATACAGTAGCATATCTATCCTATTTACAAGGCATAAAAGCCAATGTTGTGTTAACTAGGAGGACAAAATGCCTTTCCAATGCTGCCTGGCAAAGATGGGAGGGTAGGCAGATTGCCCAATACGTGGTTGTTAAAGAAAAGCAAAGGTTAGCTGTGGTAGCTGTAAGCAAAGCCTGAAGGCAGATGTTCAAAGAATCACTTGTTTCAAGCCATTTCAGATTTCAAAACAGATTATAGAATATGTTGCAGATTACTTGATCTCTGGGCAAGTTCCAGGCAGTCTGTGTACTTTACCAAAGTAGCAGGAAAAGATTTTACTAGGAAGCAAGGAAAATGAACTTGCTTGAAAACTCAAGTCCCATGATCTTTTTCCCCCAGAAAATATTAGCCAAAGGTTATGTTATTCGTGTGGTAGTATAGAACAATAGATAGCTGGCAAAACCCCAGTGAGTCTGCAAAGGAAGAACTTACAAAATTCAAATCAGGAAAGGATATGTTGTCATGGCTTGAGAGAAGAATACTGTAGTGTCAATCTCTTTTAGTTCATTAAGTCTGTTCAGAAAGGGAAAACCCTCAGTACTGAGAGGAGTACACTTACATACATGCCTAGCATACCCAATATCTCAAATGGTGGCTTAGAGTTAACCAAGAAATTAAGCTGATCAGATCAAGTCAGACCAGTGGGGCTCATATTTGTTAAGATGCCAGTTCTGAATCTCACTGGCCTGACCTGATCCAGTCCTTGGTACAGTCCTATATATTCACATTCTCTTCTGTCTCTTTTGTAAAGATACAATAAACTTTTTAAGCCTTTCCTAGCCTGTCAGACTCCAGATCAGTTGGTTTTGTAACTCCTGGGTTTTCCAATGTATCATGAGAGCACCCATTTTTATTCATGCTGTTAAAAGTTCTTTCCTGATTATTATTAATTCTGCTGAATTCAAGATGGAAAATAAAGACTTGGCTGTTTGCTGCTAAACCCACAGTTTAAATTTAGTAGCACTTAGTTACTAATGTACTTTTGTTAAGTCTGTCTGTTGAATCCTCTGAATAAATGACTGTATGCAGTAGTTATAAACACAAAGGTTTAATTCAAACATTCTACTAGAACAGTGTTTCTCAATCTTGGCAACTTTAAGATGTGTGGACTTCAACTTCCAGAATTCCCCAGCCGGCCTTGGAGAAGTTGAAGTCCACACATCTTAAAGTTGCAGAGGTTGAGAAACACTGCACTAGACCAAGCTAATCATAGTTTAGAATGTAAACCATGGATTTCTGTCTCATAAAAGCACCTGAGGAGAAATTGTATGCCAATTCAGACGTTGCATTGAATCATAGCAGAACTCATGCGTTGTGGTCTCTTTTCAAACTAGATTTTTTTTCTGATTCAAATTTTGTCAGGTTCAGCCCAAGAACAACAACGAAGCAATGCAGTCCGGTGTAGTTCCTTTATTTGCTTATACACTATAGACAGAATCTTGCCAGACTAAACCTATCCTAAAGCTACTAGCAGATATACCCTGTGAGAGACTAGGGAGGGGCTAGCCTCAGCCTCTTCTTCTTCTCACGGTCCTGCTGCGGGCTGAGAAAGTGCTTGCCTTGCCCCTTCCTCTGGAATGCACTCCCTCCCTCCTGATAGCCTTGATCTCTCATACCAGTCTCCTCCTCACCTGTGCCTTCCATTACAATCTCATCCCTATTACATCAACCTGTTCCACCCACTCAGGCAGAGAAGGCATGTTGCGGACCCCGTCAGCGAGAGAATGTT